CTCTTTTTTTTTTATCCTCATCCAAGGACCTTATTTGATTTTATTTTTTGCATTTATCTTCAGATAGAGCGGGAGGGAGAGAGGGAGGAAGAGGGAAAGAGAAAATCGATGTGCCAGAGACACATCGAATGGCTGCAACCCACACAACCCCATCTGGGGCCGGGGACAAACTGCAACCGAGGTACATGCCCTTAGCGGGAACCGAACTCGGGTCTCTCTGGACCGTGGGTCGACGCTCTAACCACTGAACAAAACCAGCCAGGGCTCTCTTTCTTTTTTTATTTTAATTATTGATTTTAGAGGGAGAGGCAGAGAGAAGGAGAGAGAGATAGAAACATCGGTGAGAGAGAACATTGATGGGCCACCTCCTGTATGCCCTGCACTGGGGATTTGGCCCACAACGTGGGCACATGCCCTGACCAGAAATCAAACCAGTGACCTCTTGGTGCCTGGGTCCACGCTCAACCACTGAGCCACACCGGCTGGGCAAGTTCAGTTCTCTTAACATGGTCTTCCAGGCCCTTCATAATGGGGCTTCAACTAACCTTTTCAATCCGACCCACAGCTTTTCCACCCACACAGTCCAGCCCAGCCCAGCTGAACTACTCAGGGTCTCTAAGTGGGCATCTTCCTTTGTGCGACCTCTGTGTCTGAGCTTTCCCGCCTCCTCCTCTACTTAACTTGGCATGGGCACATCTTTTCTTTAAAGCTTAGCTCCAGTGTCCCCACCTCTCTGGCTTTCCCTTCGCTCTGTCCCAGGCCCCTGTGGACACTTGTTGCAGCCGTCAGAATGCTGACTTACAGTTCCTGCGACACTCGTCTCTGCGTCCCCAGTGACACCTCGGAGGGCTTCACTGACCACCCCAGAAGCACGCCAGGAAGGGAGCGTGTCTTGTTCCCAACTAGTTTTATTTTCTGGGGGCAGCTCAGCTTCAAGAGGACTTGAGCTGAGGTCCATTTTGCCTTGTGCTTAGGACAGCAGCCCTCACAGAGCAATGGCACAGTCCAGTTTTAATACTGGTGGTGACACCAGAGGAAAAGCCCAGCTGGGTCACTGTTTCTGAGAGCAGGAGCAGCACTAGCATTTTGGAAAGGAAACACCTCTGGGCCGTGAGTGGAGCAAATTCAACGAGGCCACAACTGGAATAAATCCGACCACCTGAGCCGCTATTCGGGTTGTTGCTTCCAAAACAGCCTCGGCACCTGGGAGGCCATCAGACTTCACCCATGAGGTGCAAGAGCAGCCGAGGAATGCAACGTGGGTAAGAGCTCAGGGAGAGCCGGGAGCCGCAGGCAGACCTAGAGCGGTGACGAGGACTCACATCCCCTTTTTAGAGACCCCGCCCTCTACTGACACTCCGGCTCCCTTTCCTGCAACAAAACGCACGGTCTGCACCAGTCTCACCCGGCATTGTCTTATGTGGTCTTACTCCTCACTGACCCGCTGTTCTCCTTGTTGTTCTGAGGTTTATCCCCCTCCAGGAATCAACTAGTGTAACCAACCAACTCTGAAGGCGCTGCCGTGGTACCTGCAGAAAGTACTGAGCAAATGCACCACCACCTCTCATCAGCAGGTTTGACAGATGAGAGCAATTAGACTTTCCTAAATCACTACTGTGAGAAAAAGTATCCTACCAAACGGGATTCTCGTTGCCATACTTAATTTGTCTAATTATCACCACAGAATGAGAGGGAGTTCTTGTCCACATACTGACGGGGCCGCTCATGGAGAGTCTCTGAAACTCAGGCTCATCCCCAGTGTCCCTGCTCCAGGAGCACAAACTGTCTGCTCTGAGTCACTCCATCTGCCAGCATCAGGAGGAGGTTGCACAAGGCGTTCATGAGCATGGGATGCTGAGATCCTCCAAACCACTGGCTTTGTTTCCATTGCAAGTCCATCGTGTGATACAAAATACATCTAGACGCCGGACATCATGCAATGAGCGACTGCACCTGGGAATATGGGCGCTGTCCAGCACGCATGATCTCGCCCCCTGCGCGAGCCGCAAAGAGGAGAGACCTGAGCATCAAACACATTGGACCTTGGGCCTGGGAGTGGTTCCCATCTTCCTTCACTCACCCCCAGACCTGAGGAAGTCACACCCCTTTCCTGAGCCTCCAGCACTAGCACAGTGGGGGATGCTCATGTACTTTACAATGAGCTGTTGTGAATGTTGAGAAAATAACGTTCCTGGTGTAAGAGAAGGCGTATTAGTTTCCAGTGTGCTCCGGAGAGACCCTGTCTTGAACACCAGGGTAAAGAAAGAAGGGTCCTAGACCTCACATAACTAAATGGCTAGAAGACACTTGGTTTGGGGATGAGATACTCTTATCCTTCAGCTGGAGGTGAAAGCAGGTGCGGTGGCAGGTCTTTGATGGTGGCCCCGGCAATCCCTCCTGTGCACACCTGCAACCCACATCAGCAGCGGAGGCCTGCGCCCTGGCTGTCGAGTCTAAGCTGAACCGGCGACTCACTCTGACCAGCAGAATGCCGTGGAGGCAGTGCTGGTGTGTTCCTGGCCCCAGAGGCCTGGCAGCTCCCGCTTTGTGCCCTTAGAGCCCCGAGTTGCCGTGTGGCCTGTTGGAGGATCCAGCTGGAGGGACACAGGTAGGAGCCAGGCAAAGAGGCTGCAGGGCAGACACTCAGCGTCCTACCAATATCTCAACCAAGGCCCCAGACAGCTGAGCGGGTGGAGTGCCAGGAGCCCTCTGAGCCCCAGGAGCCCCATGAGCCCCGTGCCCTCTGAGCCCCAGGAGCCCCAGGAGCCCCGTGCCCTCTGAGCCCCAGGAGCCCCAGGAGCCCCGTGCCCTCTGAGCCCCAGGAGCCCCATGCCCTCTGAGCCCCAGGAGCCCCAGGAGCCCCGTGCCCTCTGAGCCCCAGGAGCCCCAGGAGCCCCGTGCCCTCTGAACCCCGTGAGCCCCGTGAGCCCCGTGCCCTGTGAGCCCCGTGAGCCCCAGGAGCCCCGTGCCCTGTGAACAGCTGTTGAGGGAGCAGCTCTGTGGGTGAGAAGCCGCCGCCCCTGGAGCAGAGAGGAGCTGTCGCCGCTCTGCCTGTCTGGACTCCTGACCGCAGAACCCTGAGAACAAGGGGGCGTCGTCGCTAACTGGGCAGGAGTGGACAAGTAAACGAGCAGCCCTATCCATTCACCCCAGGCTGCTGCTTTCCCACGGCTGCTGGAAACACAAAGTGCGTTCATTTCGCTCAGATGCAGCCCTACCACTGAGTGACCGTCGCCTTAGCATCACCTTCCAGCAGAGAAGTAAGGACCAGGAGAGGACCTGTTACAAGGGACAGAGAGCCGGGACGGCCCCTGCACTCCTGCCCGAGTGCTGCAGACTTCTCCCGAGCGGAAACAGTTCCCTTCTGCACCTCAAGGCCTTTCTCCCCTCTTCTCTCACGACTCGGGGCTGCAGCATTGTCCCTAAGGCATTTCATTTCAGGCTGCGGCTCTTCATGCCCCAGCCGCCATTTCTTCCTAAAACCCGTCACCGCCATTTAAATCCCGGACAAGGCAAAGCTGGACCTCTGCCTCCCACCCCGCTGTGCGGGGAAAGCCCACGAGGCCGCCGCCAGGTAGGGCCACGTTTACGCCAGGCCCACCGACTGGGAGCCCTTCAAAATCGATTAGCTTTTCCGAGCCTCTGGTCTCCACTGGTTAAAGTAGAGATAATGGCACACCCCAAAACCGGCCGCATGCCCCCAAACCTGCCGCGAGGCTGAGTGAACAGTGAGGCCCAGCGCCCCGCCTGGTGCAAGTGGCCGCCCAGTTCAGTTCGTGTCCTTTACCTGCCGCTGAGTAAGTGCGCACTTTCTGGGTCCCCTCCAGCCCCGCTGGCTTCTCTCTGGGAACGTGGGATGCACCCTGGCCAGCTGAGGGCCTGCCTGGCTCTGTCAGGCGCCGTCACCCATGCCGGCCTGCCGCCTGCAGGGGGCCTCGGTCCTGCCAGGAACCCCAGCTGCCGTGGCTGCCTCTCCCCGCTCCCTGTACCCCATTCAGCTCGGGGCCTGTGGTCTAGCTCTGAGGGGTGTCTTGACTCCTTCTCTTCGCATTTTCCACCGAACAGCCTGACGGAGCTGCTAGCACGGCCTCCTGGACAGGAGACACGGCTCCCCTCCGCTGCGCCGGCCTCTCCCACACGGCCCACCCGGACCTCGCCTCGGCCCGCACAGAGAGGCGGTGGTACAAAAGGCTGGTAGCGTCATCTTTCACGCACTTGGGAGAGGTTGCTTGTTCCCCCGGGGATAAAGCCCACACTGTGGGCAGGGCTCCGGGCTCCACGACCTGCCCCCTGACTCCCCCCACCCCCACCCCAGCCACCTGCAGAGGCTCCTGCCGGCCGGGTTAATGGACATACCTTTCAGGACTTAGCTTCAATGTTACCACCTACGAGATGCTTCCCTGACCACCCCCCCTTCATCTAACTTAGGTTTTGTTGGGTCTCCCCCGCCCCCAACCCACCTCCATTCCCATTATCTCTCTCAGCACCCTGGATTTTCCCTTCATATCACTAGTCACAATGTGTAATTGGATGTTCTTTGGTGAGCTTATTTAGTCTGTCTGCACGGTCACCACCTCCAAGCCCCGCAGATGCAGGACCCATGGGCAGGGCAGCCACATGCCCTGCACCAGGCACTGAGAGGGCTGCAGCCGCACCGTGAGACCACCCCTGCGTGGGAGCGAAGGACTTCCCCACGCTGCCCTCGGCACCGGGACTGCCTTGTGAAGGCGAAACCATGTCCGCTGGCTTCGTTTGGCTGCTGTTTTTAGGCCACCACACCAACAGAAGTGACCTGTTTTGAATGGCCTTGGAAGGTGGACAGGACTCACCCGAGGGTCTCAGATGCGACACCCCCTGCGGAGGGCTCATCGTGAGAGGGGCTCTGCTCATGCAGGGTGCTGAGGGCCATGGTGAGAAGGGAAACCAAGTCCCCAGCCAGATGGAGCTCAAAAGGTCAGTCATGTAAAACAAGGCAAATATGTGTGTTCATCAACAAGTACCTGGGGGTGGTCTTCCTGGTACAGCCGAGGCAGCAGCCTGACCACGATGCACAGGACCCCAGGGTGCATGATCACAGCTTCACCTTCATCCACCCTGCAGACAGAAGGGAGGCAGAACGTCAGCCCTGAGCCTCCCAGCCTCTTCTGTTTTTCACAGACCTTTCTGCCACTTATTATCTATATGACCTTGAACTAACTAACCTGTGCCTAATTTCCCCAACTACACAATGAGCTGATGATACCACCCTTCCTCTCAGAGGGACAGACCAATGTTTCTGTGCGCAAAGGCACAGTGCCTGGCGCACGGTTGGTGCTCAACGGAAGTCAGCCCCCTGGCCCTCTCCCCTTCTCTTCAGATATGTGGGAGAAGAAGTTCTCATTTTACGTTACACACACACACACACACTCACACACGTCTAGACCTCTTTAAGGTGGTGTAAAAACACTGTTCTATCCACTGAATGCAACTAAAACCCAGACAGAATGCATGAGCAGCCCCCTAAGAACTTTGAAAAGTGAGCGACAGCACAGAGAGAAACCAACCCAAAGCACCACAGAACTGGCAATGAGTTTCTGGGGCTCTCTTCTAGCATCCCCTGGCGTGGGGTCGCGGGAAGCCCAGAGCCCAGAACCGTGCACCAGGTGTGGAGCAGGCCCCAACAAGAGCAGGCTGCTGTTTCTGGTCCGAGGAGCAGGAAAGGAGGCTCCGACAAGCCACAGAAAATGGAGGAGAATCCGTGGGACATTTTTTGTTGGGTGTCTCCATTCTTTCCCACCCCAGCCTTAGGCAACCCCACAGCGGAAACAGCGGCCAGGCAGGCATCTGAAACTCACAGAGAGGAGAATCCTTTTCTCAGATACTGTCCATGGTCTCAAACGTGTAAGCAAAACCCCCATCGTTTTTGTCTCTTTTTCCTCTACCTGCCTGGCCCCAGAGACAGGTGCCGCTGGGTGAGGTGTGTGCCAGAGCAGGAAACAAAGCCATGACTTTCTAGACAGAGGAGGAAGAGGGCCCCGGGAGCCAGAAAGTGTTGGGGAGATGATGAAGAGGAAAAGGCTTAAGAAAATGAGGCCACTGAGTTCTGTATCAAACTCTGGACTCAGTCCGGGCTGCACATGTGTGGCCTGTTCCTAAACCACATTCTGGAGGCTTTAAGAACTGAACTTGATTTTTCCTTTTAGTTTTCTGATTCGTTGATATTTTCTACCCTGTCTTCTAATTCACTGATCCAGTCCTCAGCTTCCTCTACTCTGCTGGTTAGTCCTTCCAATGTGTTCTTTATTTCTGCTATGTCATTCTTCATTTCACTTTGTTGGTTTTCATGTTTCTATATCTTTTTTTTTTTTTATCCTCACCCGAGGACATTTTCCCATTTTTTTGTTCAGGTAGAGTGGGAAGGAGAGAGAGGAACAGAGAGAGAGAGAAAAAAACATCGATGTGAAAGGAACACATCGAGTGGCTGCCACCCGTACGACCGACCAGGACCGGGGACAAACTGCAACCAAGGTACGCGCCCTTAGCGGGAACCAAACCCGGGTCTCTCAGGACCGCAGGCCAACGCTCTAACCGCTGAGCCAAACCGGCCAGGGCGCATGTTTCTATACCTTTACTCATGGTGCTGATGTCCTTACTCATGCTGTTGAGCTTCCTCAAGATCATGGCTCTGAACTCTACCTCTGATAAATTGCTTAACTACATTTCATTGATCTCATCTTCAATAGTAAAAAATCAGTAGATCAATCAAATGAAATAATAAGATATATTCAAATAATCTACAAAAAGGCAGGAAAAGAGGAACAAAAAAAGAGGGAACAAAGACAAAACAAATAAGATGGTACACCCAAATCAAACATACCCCAAGTTAAACTGAATTTAAATGGTTTACTTACACCAATTAATAGACATATATCATCCGAACGGAAAAAGCAAACGACCAAACTACATGCCATCAACAAGAAATCCACTTCAAATGTAATAATACAGACAGGCTAAAAGTAAAAGGATAGTAAAAAAGTACACCAGGCCAACACTAATCCAATGAAAGCTGGTGTGGCTCAGTTACATCTAGAGAAAGAGAACTTCAGAGCAAGGAATGTCGCCAGGAATAAACAGGTTATATTGCATAATGACTAATAGAGGCATAACATCAAAAATGCGTAGGCACTTCACAACAGAGCATCGACATTCATAAAGAAAAACTGATAGCAGTAAAGAACAAATGGACAAATTCTCAAATATATATAGTTCAACACTCTTTTCTCAGTAATTGATAGAAAAAGTAGAGAGAAAAGCAACAACGATATAGAACTGAACACATTCAACCAATGATGTAATGTGCATTTCAGAAGACACATTTTCAAGTTTTCATGGAACATTTGTCAAAATCAAATAGATTCTGATTCATAAAACAAAACCTAAAACATTTTGAAGAAATAAAACCATACAAAGTGTGTTCTCTAATTGTAACAGAATTAAAGACAAAGTAAATAATAGAAAAAGAAACTGAAGTCTCCGAGTACTTGGGAATTAAACAACATACTCCTTTTTCACTATGATAAAATACACATAACAAAAAACTTACTATCTTAAGCACATTAAGTGTTCAATTCAGTGGTATTGAATACATACACACTGTAAACAACATATTTGTAAGTAGTCTACGGATCAAGAAAAAAATGACAGCTGAGTGAACGGAAGCTACTCAGTCCGTATCCCAAGACCAAACTGGAATTACAACTGAAATAAAGACAAATCATTGGGAAAAGCCAACTGAAGAACAGCTGGACGGAACCACGACAACCAGGGATGCCAAATCAAGCCCAGGAGGAACTGCGGAGGTGCGTGGGCATGGGCTGGGAGTCCGAGGAGCAGAGGAGAGCTGTATTAGTGGTGTGCGCTTCCCACTGAGAAAGCAGAGGTGTTTTTTTGTTTTTTTTAAAAAGCACCAAACCAACTACAGCCACTCACCTTGGGCTCAGACAGAGGAAAGGCAGACTAGACTGGAACTGAGTGAGAAGAGGGCTTCTGGCTCCAGAGGGGTGGATGCAGGGAGTTCTGTACTGAGTCATTCCCTCACAGGACAGTATCCATCTTACTCAAAGAGCCCTTTCCCAGAGCCCTGGGGAGAAATAACAGCCCCTGCACCATGAATTCAACACCACCAGGCCAGGCCAGAGAAATGTAAATGAAGGCTCCTTGACATCTCAATTTAATGAGCTCGTAAGGGCCTCACTGGCAAATCATCTATAGCCACTCACCTTGGGCTCTGGCAGAGGGAGGGTGGACTGGACTGGAACTGAGTGGAGAAAGTCCAGAACTTCTGGCTCAGGAGGGTTGGACGCCAGGAGTTCAGTACTGAATCACTCCCTCAAAGACAGTAGCCATATTACACAAAGAGCCCCTTCCCAGAGTTCTGGAGAGAAGCAAGGGACTCTTCCACAGGAATTCAACACCACCAGGCCTGGCCAGAGAAATGCAAATTGAGGCTCATTAACATCTCAATTGAATAAGCTAGCAAGAGCCACCTGAGACTCATCAAGTAACTGAAACTGCCTCCAGGCAAATAGCTAGAGGATAACTGAACCTTGTGAACCTTGCCTGGGCTTGCAAATCTACCCAGGAAAGTAAGACTTGACAGTAGTATTTAACATGAGTCCTCTCATACTCATCTAAGCCCAGTAGAGGGAGCCACAACCAACAGAACTACCAACACCCACAGGGAAAATTTGGCAGGCTCCAAAATCCAGAGACAGCCAAAATGGTGAAACAAAGAAACAAATCCCAAATGAGAGAACAAGATAATTCTGCAGGAGAAGAAATAAACAACACAGAACTAGGCAAAACATCAGAGGAAGAGTCCAGAGCAATAATCAAGAGGAAGCTCAATAGCATGAGTGAAGAGCTCAATTGCATGGGTAACAAAACAGAAACATTGAAAACCAACCAATAGGAAATGAAAAACGACATAGCAGAAATAAAGAACACATTGGAAGAATTAACCAGCAGAGTAGATGAAGCCAAGGACCAGATCAGTGAATTAGAAGATAGGGGAGAAAAAAAATCACCCAATCAGAAAACCAAAAGGAAAAAACAATTAAAAAACAGAAAGACAGCCTAAGAGAACTGTGGGACAATACGAAGTGTAACGACATGCATCATAGGTATGCCAGAAGAAGAAGAAAATGTGCAAGGGTTAGAGAATATTTTTGAAGAAATAGTGATGGAAAAGTTCCCTAGCTTGGTGAAGGAAAAAGGCACACAAGTCCAAGAACCACAGAGAGCCTCAAGTAAGAAGAAGCAAAAAAGGCCCATAGCAAGGCAAATAATAATTAAAACACCAAAAATTAAACACAAAGAGAGAATCCTAAAGGCAGCAAGAGATAAGCAACAGGTTACCTACAAAGGAACCCCCATAAGGCTCTCAGCTGACTTCTCAACAGAAACACTACAAGCCAGAAGGGAATGGCATAAAGTAATCAAGGTAAAAAAAAACAAAACAAGGACCTGAACCCAAGACTACTCTATCCAGCAAGGCTATCATTCAAAATAGAAGGTGAAATAAAGAGCTTCCCAGTAAATAAGGCTGAGGGAATATATTAGCTCCAAACCACTGCAAAAAAAAATGTTAAAAGGACTGCTGTAATTAGTAGAAAAAAATAGGAAAAAAAATATAACCGCAATAAGCAAAAATGGCAATAAGTAAGTATATATCAATAATCTTTTAATGTAAATAGATTAAATACTCCTTTCAAAAGACACAGGGTAGCCCTGGTTGGTTTGGCTCAGTGATTAGAGCATTGGACAGCAGTCCAGAAGGACCCAGGTTCAGTTCCTGCTAAGGACATGTACCTTGGTTGCAGTTTGTCCCCGGCCTTCGTTAGGTCATGCAGAAGGCAGGCAACCACTCGATGTGTCCCTTTCAGATTGATGTTTCTCTCTCTCTCTCTCTCTCTCTCTCTCCCTCCCTCCCTCCCTATCCCTCTCTCCCTCTCTCCCTTTCTCCCTCTCTCCCTCTCTCCCTCTCTCACTCTCTCCCTCTCTTTCCCTCCCACTCTATCTGACCAAAAAATGGAAAAATGACCTCAAATGAGAAT